CATTCCTAAGCACCCACCATGTTGGGCACTGTCCTCAGCACTGGGGACATGGGGAGGGGAGGTGATGGAGGTTATGTTCTGGTGACCCCAAACCAAATCAGACCTCCCCGTGGAGAGGGAAGGGATGGAAGAGAGTGGCTGGGGGTGGGTGTCTCCCCAAAAGGCAGTCAGGGCAGGCCTGGCCCAGGAGGAGGAGCCAGCTTCTGAGGAGCTGGAGGAAGAGTGTTTCGGGCAGAGGGACCCAAGTGCAGAGGCCCTGGGGCAGGAGCGGGAGCTAGAGCTGCAGGTGAGGCTGGCGGACCTGTGTGGAGGAGCACAGGTTAGAGGCTGCCAGAGGGAGACAGGCTCCCACCGTGGCGCGTTTCCACTTCCTCTTGGTGCAGAGGGAGGCCCACGGGGGCTTTTGTTCTGGTCCTGCACTCAGGCCCTCATGAGCAGGCCCTGCGTAAGCCGGGTGGCGGGATGGGAAGAGCTGACCAGAACTGGAGGTCACGGGGCTTGTCAGGCTTGCTGCCTGCCTGCCTCCCTGCCACCCCCAGAGTGTGCCCCTGCCGGGCGTTGGCGCTAGGGTCTGGACCTGCGTCCAGCAGACTCACCACTGCAGCCTCCCTGCCTCCCTGGGCCTCATGCTGTGGTTACCTGCCTGTGGGCTGCACCAGGCACTGGAGGGCCGCCACGCGGGCAGGTGGCAGGCACGGAGTCCTGGCATCACTGGCCTTCAGAGGTGTCTTGAGGGCAGCCACGCAGTCTTGGCTGAGTGACCTCAGTCTCCACACCTGACGGTCCAGGTGATAGGTCAGGGAGACATGAAGACAGCAGCATGCGGAGGACACGGGCTGGCCTTTCCCGAATCCCTGGCTTTCTCTTTATTGGCTTCACCTCTGAGAATTTCAGTTTCCTGTTCAGTTAAGTGAGAATAACTATTCCTATCTAAAAGATGGCCGAGAGGTGAGCCAGGTGCGGCATGGAGGGGGCAGATCCTCCCTGGCAGGTGCTTCTCTGGGGACTTGGAGTCTTGGTTCACTCTGGGACTCAGCAGGGACTTCTTCATCCTGTTCAAGCCCAGGTGACCGTCCCCTCTGCCCAGAGTGTTCATTCTCAGCAGCAGGAGGCCTCGATAGGCCTTTCTGTCCTATCCCTGTGTCCCCTGTGTCCCTGCTTCCTTGGTGCAGGAGAGTGGGAGCGAAAAGCACACACAGGAAAAGGCTCTGCAGAGGGAAGAGGAGCCCGGCCTCAAGCCCTCAAGCCCTCAAGCCCGGGGCTCTCGCCAGCCTCTCTGGCTGGAGTTTTTGAAACCTGATTTCAGCTCAGCAGATTCCGGTAGAGCAGCTGCCTGTCAGAGATCAGCCTGAAACGTGAATTTTCTTTTAACTTCCCACCCCCCACCCAACAACACATCATCTGTCATAGAAACAGAAACTGCCCCTCCCCTGAATACCTGCTGCTCTGCCCTGGTTTCCACAGCAAAGGTGGGTGGGAGTGGGGTGCCCTGCAGACACCCCTCGGGTCCAGTGAGGAAAACAGACAGAGCTAACACAGTTCACCACAGGGACCAGGGCCTCAGTGGACTGAGTCCACCCCTAATTTGGTGAACAAATGTCTAATAGGCGTCCCCTGTGTGAAGAATGGGCCTAGAAAGTGGAGACCTAGCCCTCTCGTTGAGGAGGATCCAGTGGTGAGAGAGGACACCCAGCACCAGTGCAGCCCGAGACAAGCCCGGGAAAGGCACTTAGCAGAGAGAGGGCTGGGGGGTCCTGAAGGACAAAGGGGTCTGGAGAGTAGGGAGGAAGAAGGACCAGCATGGGCACGGAATCAGGCCCAGGCTTGAGGAGCCAGGGCCTTCAGAGGCCTCCAGGATTCCCCAGCTGCTGGCAGAGGTGGCTCTGGTGGGACGGCTGTGCATTGGACCTTTTGGACGTGGGCTGTGAGCGCACCAAGACCCTTGCAAACGGCAGCCTTTGGAAGGCAGGAGGAGGAGGGAGGGCCCAGCGGACGCGTCTTCAAGTGCAAGGGGAACGGGCCCAGTCAGGAGCGTGCAGGGTGGGCAGCCAAGCTGTTCCCACGCCCCAGAGGCCAGGAGGTTCAGATGCCAAGCTCCTCTTTGGATGGGCAGCCAAAGAGCCAGGCTCCATGATTCTCTAGAATGCACCTCTTTTTAAGTCCAGTTTGTCACAGAATTGCCACAAAACTATCCCCTTAGGGGTCTGCGGCAGGTCATTTTGACAGTGGTTCAGGCTCTGCACAAGTTCCCCGACAGTCCGCTTCAGCTTGTTCCTGTCCCCGTCCACCTGGAGTCTCAGTCTAGTTCTTCATGTTTCCACTAGAGGTGAACTTTTACAGCTGTCATTTGGCCCTTGTCACAGCTCTGCTTAAAAATGCTTCAGGATAAAGTCCAAGCTGTGGGGCCCCGTGCTCCACCCTGGCCAGCTTGGTCCCTCCAGCTCTTCCCACTGGCCAATGTCCTCATCCTCCCAGATACCTGCAGAGCCTGGGGTGCACGGCCTCCTCCACGTTGCCCCAGACTCTTCAGGTCCCCACGTCAACCCAAGTCCTGGCAGAAGCCTTCCCAAACCACCGCCTGCCTCCCCAGCCCCACCATCTTCCTGCTTCCACACAAGCTCACGCTTGGAAGCAGGCGTTCACATCATTTTATGAACAACTCTGGGCCCCCCTTCTTCTGGCTCTGCCAAGTCCCCACACTTCTGTGTCCATGCATTTGACCCTGGTGGTCAGGCTGGCCCTTTCTGGCCTCCTTGCCACCATCCAGGTTTACACGTCTTCCCAAGTTCTACGGGGACTGCCTGCTCCTGGGCCTCCCTCACGCCCTGGAGCGTCGCTGCACCCCCCCCTCCCCCGGGCTGTGGCCCTCTCGAGGCCAGGTGCACCTTTTTAGGACTATAGCATCTGGCAGCCCAGTTCTCCCCAGCTCCTGCCCGTTCCCGCATTGGTCCAGGGGATGCAGTAGCAGTGTGCACGCCGGGCCCATGTCTCAGGCATGACATCTGCTGTCATGAAGGGCCCACGCTGGCTTCTCTTCTGTGGCCACCTGGGGAGCCACTGAGTCGCCCATGGTTCCATTTTGTACTGTGCCTGCTCCTCGGCTAGTGCCCCATAACTGCCCACCAGGGCCTTGTGAGGCACCATGGAGAACATATGATGTCCACATCCCTGCCAGCCAGCACCTGGTGACACCCTGCAGCGCCACCTTTGCCATTCCCTCAGCCATGGCCGCGGGCAGCGCTTCATTCCCCCATGAAGCTCCAACAGACCACTCACCACCTTCTGCCGCACTCCTGACCCTCCAGGTTCCCAGCCCTGACACGCTTTGAAGTCTGGGCCAGGGCCTGTTAGAAATGGGTTCCTGCTCTGTAGCCCAACAGGCCACTGAACCAGGCACCTTAGGGCCAGGCCTGTGCATCCCTCTTGTTAGCTCGTCCCCAGAGACCTGACACCTTCATCTGTGTGCCACTCTGATGAGTGGCAGAGGTTGGGAACCTCTATCCCAGGGATAAAATCTAGACCCCCTTATGTGGCACTTGGCATCCATTCCAGGCCACCCCCACCGAACTTTCTATGCCATGCTCTGGGGGTGAGTGGGAGCCTTGGGGACGTTTCAGGCTCCAGTAACCCACACCACATGTTGCCTTCCCTGACTACCTGGGGGTGCCTCTACTCCTTCACCCACCTCCCAAGATGTCATGAGGCCCTCCTCTCATGGGTCCTTCCCCTGTGCTCAGCAGCACCCACGTTTCCTTTTCCTCTGGCACTGGACACGTGGCACAGTGACCTTTCCCAGCCCTTGATTCCTGCAGCCTGGGAGCTCCCCTGGCAGCGCCCTGAAGCTCCTTGGTTGGCCCCTTTGACACCTAGGCAGAGCACTCCAGGGTGCCTCAGGGACACATCTCCTTGGAACAGGGGTCCTCTGTAAAGGCAGCCCCCAGTGCTACCTTGTCCCAAAAAGGTTTCTGCCACTGCAGCTCTGTCCCAGGCTCGTGGGAATAGCCCTGCCTGAGAGCCTTTCTCCAGTGTCCCCACACATGGCGGTGTCACCTAGCCTCCCTTCAGTCCCCACACCCAGCAGGGGTCCTGGACTGTCTCACAGTATCAGGTGAAAAGGCTCTGCATTGGTGACAACTCCCCTGTGTAATAAATGCTCCCTCGTCTCCCCTCTGGAAAAGCCCGGGTGTGGCCACAGGGGGACTGCTGAGCCCTGCATGCCCCCACAGCCATTCCTCCCGAGGTCTGGGTGGCAGGCGTCTCCCCGACCTGCAGGGTTTTGAGCTTGCTCCACTGCCACACATGGCCTTCCAGCCCTGAGGTGCCTCTCGGCCCCACCTCGGGAGCACTTCCCATGGTCTGAGTGCTTGGCTTAGTGCTCATCAGGTGCTTCCACGGACAACACCTGAACCACGCAAGACAGCAGTGGCCCGGCAGAGGTGCTTTCCTGAGCACCTACTGTGTGCTTCACCTGCAGGGGCCCCAGACCCAGCTGACCAGAGCAGAGTGCTTTCCTGATGGCAGAGGTCCCTGGTCCCTGAGCTCACCTGGGAATAACACCTGGCACCTTCACCTCCGAGTGCTTCTTCACATGCCATGGCCCTCCCCACCTCGAGGCAAATGTGGAAGCCACAGGGTGGACACTGAGCAGGCCGGGCTCGTGTCCAGAGCTGGTGTCTTGGTGCCACTGTTGCATTTGCCCAGCCACAGAGGCCCCGGGTCAGACTGCCGCCTCCACAGAGTGCCTGGGACACGCCTGGGGAGTCGTTCCCTCCCTTGGGTGCCCTGTGCAGTGCGGGGAAGGAGGCTCTTGGTGTCTGGAAGCCTCTGGATCCTTGGGGGGAGGCCTGGAGGCTGGTGGGGAAGTGCAGGAGGAAGAGGCTGGCTCACACACGCTCCCCTGCGGGTGTGCAGGACCCTGGCGACAGCTCTGGGGGTGAGTGGGAGCCTTGGGGACGTTCCAGGCTCCAGTAACCGCCTCTCTCCCCTCTGCCTCTTTCCAGGCACATCTCTCTAACGCTCCCCGCCACCTTCCGAGGCAGGAACAGCAGCCGGACGGACTATGAGTACCAGCACTCCAACTTGTATGCCATATCAGGTACGTGGGGTCTGTGTCCGGTGGCATCTGCCCTGCGGGGACCCCGCCTCCCCTTGCCTTTGTGTTACTGCGGCACTTACAGAGATGGAGAGGCCAAGTGCTCAGCAGGCTTTGAAACTAATGATGGAAAACAGCGTGTGGGGTTCGCAGGCTAGAAGGGAGGGTCAGAGAACACCCTCCCCTGCTGGGCCCCGTCTCCCCCGGGATGGGGAGCAGTGCCAAGCTGAGTAGTGGGGCCAGCACCCTCACAGCCAGACTGTGTCCCAAGGTGGCACCGGCCGTCTCCCCCACGCGAGAGTGTGAGTCCATGATTTCTCAACCCAGCCTTGAAACTGACAGTGTCACCTTGGCAGGAGCCTCATCATTCCTGGTCCCCCTCCTTGCCTCCACCGGGAGGGGCAGTTTACCAGGCTTGTTTCAGGTGTGAGCGTCCTTGTGCCCTGGGCAGTGTAGGCCACTTGCCAAGAGCCCAGGAAACCACACTTGTCTCTGATTGTCCGGGGCCGCCAGTCGGTGTTTGTGTATAAGGGGGAAGTGGTAAATCGGTGCCACTTACCCGCGCACGCCCTTAATGGTGAGTGACGTTTTGAACGCGGGAACATGGCATTCATTCATGTACCATAATGAATCGGTTATTTAAAAGGTAATCTTTTTTCTAAAAATTGCAACTTCAGGTTACTAAACAGATGAAATAGAACAATGGCATAATTCTTGTCAGTATTAGTTTCTCTCGTTATGATCACTCCCTAATAGGTTTGGAAGTATAAGCAAAAGCCAGTTGTTCCATTTCCGGGCTGCGCTCCTGCTGGGAAGGGGAGGACAGGGGTGTTCTCAGCCCCCGCCCTGGCTCCACGCCAGGAGCCAGGCTCTCCCAGGGAGCAGGCGCGTGTTTGTCTAAGTGCAACTTCTCCAGGGAGTTCTTTTATGCAGTGGCTATTTCGCCAGAGTCGACAGGGAGCAGAACAAGTGTGGAAAGATAACCTATTTTGTAGAAAAGCTGAATATGTCCCCAGATGTTTAGTGGCAGAGTGGCATGTAACAGGCCCAGGAAATCCAGCAGGCAGGGCTGGTCGCAGTGCACGCAAGGACAGCCATCAAACAGATGACTTTTCGCCTGCAGCTTCTGCTCTCTTTCCAGTGCAGTGTTGGGCTGCACCCACCTTCCCCGCATCCTCTGATGGCTTTCCCAGCTGTTGGCGTTTCTGCAGCAAAGAGCCGGGAGTGAAATCTCTGGTTTGGCAGGACTCTTGCTGCCTGCCACTGGACCGCTGCTTCCTCGCCTTGCGGTTGATGAGGTGTTGTCCGGGTGCGTTTCAGCTGTTAGTGTAGCAATACCAAGGTAACTGCCTCAAGACACAGGGGAAGCCATTCAGAAACTTCCTGTTCCATTTATGTGAGTGGCAGTCAATGGGATTTTATCTTCCAGAGGCAGTTAGGGTCCCAGCCCACGTCAGGGGCAGCTCAGACTGCCTCCGAGGCTGCAGGCCTCCAAAGTGCTCTGCCAGGGCCCAGGGCTGCTTTGTAGTGATGCTGCCAGAAATACCCTGCAGGACCCACCGGCTCCACACGGCCTGCAAGCTCAGCACTGGACAACCAGGGCGCGACTGGGAAGCCTGCCCACCCAGCCCCTGGCAGCCGGCCTGTGCATGGTTCTGGCTAGAAGGGAGCAGAGACCACCCCCTCTCCCCACCTCAAAGAGGGTCTGGTGCCAGGTGGCACATCTCCATTTGGTATTGCAAAGTTGGGGTTTGCAACAGTTTATTCCAAAACAGTTCCGGCAGAGTGTGCCCCAGGTCCTAGCCCCTGCCCGGCGCTGGCGCCTTCATGGCTGGAGTCTCGCTGCTGATGAAGTGAATCGTCAAGCGCTTCTTCCAGAGCGACCCTGGCACATGTTCACTGCACACTCCAGGCCCCAAGCCCTTGCTGCAACCTCTGGGACACCGTGTTCCTCCTGAGAACCTCTGGTTAGTGCTCCCTAGTTTGGGGTCCCTTCCTAGGGAAAGTAGATCTCAAAACAATGGAATTAGAGATTTGAAAAGTAGTCCATATTTAACGCGTAGGGATGGGCTTTTACTTTTAGTTATTGTCTCAGTGGCGTGCCTGTTAATGAACTCATTTTCCTGGACCTTGTGCTGAGACAGGCCTCCTGCGCTATACCTGGGAGGCAGAGCCACTGCTCTGGGCTCTGTCCCCAGCACACGAGGCGCCTGTGAAATGTGTGTGGAAGAAAGGATTTAACCTAGCATCTGCCTTGCCAGGAACACCCTCCAGGACCCTGGGGCGGGTGATCACCCTGATTGGCCTCCTCAATCCCCAGAGCCTGGGGCCACACCCTTCCTTCCGTCTCCGAGACCCTTGCTCCTCAAGCTCCTCTGTCTCCTGCTCTCACAGCCACTCAGCAGCTTGGGGCACTCTGTGTTCCATCGGCCAAGTTTGTCAGCTGGTCTCCACAGTGGAGCAGATGTTTCTCTTGTCCACAGAAGAGGGGAGGGACTTGCATGGGCCCAGTGCTGGAATCCTGAGACGCCCATGTCCCTCGCCCTGCCAATTCGTTCCCCAGTCAGAATGGCCACAGAGGAGACCTTTGGTCCTCACGCTTCCTCTTCTAGGAGTCTCTTCTAGAAAATGCTTACAGATATGCAGACAGATTTATCCAGAGGATGAGCACGACTGCCTTTGAAAACCACAGCTCCAAAAGAGGGATGGAGGCAGGTGCTGAAGTGTAAGTGCCAGCCAGTGGCCTTCACTTCCCCGCTGTCCGGAGGGGGACAGCTTAGTTGGGAAGGTGAGGGGGAGCGGTAGTGACTAGCCAGCGTGTTCAAGTGATTTCGTGTGAAATGTGCACGTCTGAAGGTCTTAGAGGCCCACGCCCAGGGAGGTGGGGTCTGCCCGACTCCCCAGTCCTGTCTTCTTCCCCAGCTTTCTGGCCATTTCCCATTTTTCTGTAATAGCGTTTGTCACTGTTGTAATAAGATACAGACCTGGAGTTAATGTGGCGTCTTCTCGGTAAACCCCAAGGGCCCCTACAGATCACCCAGGTTTTTCCGAGCGCTCACAAGCTGCCTGGCTTGCACTGTGCTTTCAGGGCTTACTGGAAATCGCTTCCAGACCACAGATCAATAACTTTCTTGTCCTGCCTTGAGAATATAATTTCGCTTGTCGTCCTGTCCCCTGAGCCCTGCTCAGCGAGCCTCCTCCACGCTCCCTGGCTCCTACTTTCACCCTCACGTCCCACTGGCCAGCAGCTGGTGGAGCCGTCACCCCAACTCTGTTCTTGAGCCCAGGTCAGTTCCCGTTTGGAGGTGGCCTTCATAGAGAAGGAGCTGGAAGTGAAGTGGCAGCTCCAGGCTTGATTCAGGCCATCCCTTTGTGTTCAGTGGCAGCCAGCCTCAGCCTGAGGCCACCTCCCTCTCACAGCCTTCCCTGGGATCTGCACTTTGTAAATAGTCCAGAAAAGGGGAATCGTGTTTAGTGGGGTGTGAAAATGACACAAAATCCAGATCAAGTTCTTTTGGCGCCCAGCCGTTCCTGGTTGTCTCTGGTGCTCCCACGCCACTGGGGCAGAGACCACATGGCCCCCAAACTCAGGCCCCGTCTGCAGCACCTGCCTGACGGGGGTCCTGGGGGCGCACTGCTCCTTGTCTTTTTTCCTATCTGAACTCCTCTGGGAAAGCACCCGTGTTCCCCGTTCTTCCTTTTGGTGAGTGGTGGCTTGTGCTTCCCAGGCTCCTGTGCTGTCCCTCTCCAGTGGCCCTGTGGTCCTGGGGGTTCAGACATGCCTGAGGTCTGCCTCTGGGGGCCCTCCACAGCACTCCTGTCCAGCCTGCCCACAGACGTCCTCCTCAGTCTCTTCCGCTTGCCACTGTCCTCTAAGAGCGTCTCCCCTTCCTGAAGCCTTCCGTCTTAGTCCCCATGCCCAGCCTCCCTTGCTCCCCGGACAGTGCACCTTCACTCGTGTCTGTTTCACCTGGTCCTAAAGGATCTGCAGCAGCCCCTCAGACACAGAGCAGAGCGGGAAGGGACGCCAGACGCGAGAGTCACTGGCAGCAGGACAGAAGCAGGCGCAGCTGTGCCAGGGCTCAGGATTTGGTCCTGAGCCGGAAGCCGTGTCCCTTCCGAGTGGTCCCAGGCTCAGTGCCGAAGACCACACGGAGCCTGGGCAAGGCCTCTGCCGCCAGCTGTGTCTGTTATTTTCAGACAGACGCTCCTCAGCTCCGCCCTTGCTGCACCACACTCCCCGTGAGCGGTGACCCTGTAGATGCGTCTTAACCCAGTCCCCGCATCGCCTGGCGCTGTCTGTGGGGAGGGTCCTGTCAAGTGCCATGGCAGCATTCCAACATGGCCCAGTGGCAGTGACCGTGAGTTTGGCAAAGACAGACTGTGTCTCGGGGGCACCCAGGTTGAAGTGACCCTAAGTGACCCTAGGGTGTCCGAAAGTTGAGTAAAGGGCTGTGAGGGGACCAGAGGCCTTGGGATGCGGGAGGGACGGGCGTTGCACCCACACCTGCCAAGCATCTGGCCACTTCCTGAGGCTGGGCAGGAGAGGAGGCTCCGCATGCCCCTCCCAACCCAGGCATACCTCCCTCCCCTCGGTCCCTGGCAGCCTTTGCTCAGGCGTGAGACACCAGAGGCTGGGAAGCCACACGCGCTGCCCTCCATCGTTGCCGCTGTTGTAGACCGCCGGTTTCTCTCCAAGGGTGGAGGTTTTCCTAACCACAAAAAACTTACATTTCTCCCTTTTGAAAAAAAAAGTGGCATGGTGGTGTAAGACAGGAAAAACTGGTGTAAGACACTAAAACCGGCGTGCAGTGAGACCGAGGCTCCCAGACCCCCTCGCACCCAGGACGCAGTGCGGTGCAGACTGCCAAGGCCCGGCGGTGCTGGACGGGCCAGGGCGCTTCTCTGAGCAGTTGGGAGGCTGTGGGGCTCCTCGTGTGCCACCGGCGTGCCACTTGAGAACGTGAATGGAATGCCCAGTCGAGCGTCCGGGCGCTCGGGGC